GGAGTAAATGCAGCATTTAGGATATATATATATATATAAGGCTACATATTAATAACATCTGATGCATGCGGTTACTGTGTTCGTTTAAAAGCCGAGTTAAATTTTGGTATTGAGATAGCTTCAGAGGCAGTATAAATTACCGCACTAACAAAATCTTTCTGGTTTGCCGCTCAAATTTATAAAGAAATTTCAATGAGTAATTTACTAGAGATAAATTGGTCACATAGCATGAAAAATATGGAGTTCGACCAATATTCCATGGTGAAGACTGACTGTGATTATCTTGTAAAGCGTGCTGTATTTATTTGATATTTTAAAGGAAGATTTCAATGCATATCACATAATTCATAAATATTTAGATATCACATATACTCATACTTTTATATTTATTTATATAGCATTTTAGAATGTCACATCAAAATATATACACGAAAAAAATACCACTTCAGAAAATAAATATTAAACAGAATTGAAGTGTAATAAATAAATAAATAAATTAATAATAAATAATAATAATAATAATAATAATAACACAATAAGAGCATGATAGAATACATCGAATCAATAGTAAGCTTATGCATGAATACATAAACTCCATAGAATATTCCAGGTAAGAAGGAGAAAATTCCTATGGCACCACATAAATCAGGGCTAGGGTTTTTCAACAGCGACAATAAACCTGAACTATTTACAGACAAAAAATCCACACAAATCCCCTAAAATCGATCAAACAATAAGAAAAAAATAAATTGTCAAAACAACTACGTGGAAACTAAGACAAATAGAAACATGAAAATAGTCGCCAACCTGAACTTTCAGAGCACCTGGGTTCATCACTCTGCATCTACCAAATCATCTGTAAATAATAAATATATATATATATATATAATATTTGCAGATAAAAGATTAGGCGTATTCAATCATAAATTTCTTTGAATTTGTGCAAGTAAAAATTTTCAAACAGATCAATCTTACCTAGAAGTTCCTGAACTGGTTTAACAGCAATGGAAATCGAAATTGAAAGAATTATATTTAGAGCAATCTGATCACCTCATCACAGTTTCTTTTACAAATGATCGGCCTCCGGAGCTGGGCAAAGGAAATAAGAAATTTTACAATGATTAAAATGTAAAAAGGCTGCGCTCAAAATGAGTAATTGCTTCCCACCTATACTCCAGGCGGATGTTTAGGAATCTTGCATTCTCCTTGCTCTGAGAGAGAGTGATTGAGCCTTCTATAATTTGGTCTTGTTTTACCTCTATTGGATCGTAGAAGTATATAATGGTCTGCAATACATTATGATATGTAATTAAAATGCGTAAAATGGGTAGAAAAAGAAAGAAATCAGAAAATTATAAAATATATTTATGCAAATAATTGGGGAGGGGGATCTGATGAAGAATACCTGCTGCCAGTGGGTAGGATCATCCTCTGGTGCGGTTGATAGAACAATAGCCTCATTGGATTTGACCCGTTTTGTGATTCTGTTATTGGGATGTAAAATCGTCTCTGGAGAAGCTCCGAGGGTATGAAGATGTTCGTTCGAAGGAACATTTTGGGGGCCATCAAATTCAACATCGAACCAGAAGGCGAAGCCGTGCAGTGGGGCTAACATGCGCACAAAAGCAATGTGTCAGCTTAATTAATATATTTATACTTAATACCTAGGTTTTTTAGTAGGAAAAAAGAATATTAAAGATCAAGGATCAACTTAAGACATAGAATCAACTTAATATTAACAAATGAGGTTAGTCACATGAATGACTGTACATGACGGACTTGCTCCAAAGGTCACAATATATGTAGGGATTGTAGTGAATGAGGGTGGGAGGCAAAAAGGAGAAATGTTAAAGCAATTCTTGTAAGGAATTTACATACGTAGCACACAGTTCTTATGTATTTACATATCTGATATCTAACTTTTATATTTAGATGCATAGCACTTTGGTGCTTTAAACCTATGCATGAAATGGAGTATTTCACTTCTAAAAAATGATAATAGTGCTATTTTTTATGAGAATAAAAATTTGAGTGTTATGTGTGTAAATATGAAAGTTTAGGTGTGAGATATGTAAACATATATGAATTAATTTCTATGTATATAAATGCTCCTTCTTGTAAATAATTGAGTGAGGTGGCCTTGGTGGTGGGGAATGGTCACCAAACAATAGATGGGAAACTTTGACTTAGGGATCAACTAGTATACAAATGAATCTAAGCGACAGGAATGAGAAGATGCTACAATTCAAGGGCAAACTCAATATGCCAGTTAAGTGAAAACTAATATAAAGAAACGTGAGAGCTAAGCTCACGTTTCATAGTGAAAAAGAAAACAAGTCAATTGAGAAGATCTAGGAGTAAATGCAGCATTTAGGGACATGATCGACTAATAGGCTATGTATACTTGACAAGAAAAGTGTAGTGGACGTGTTGAAACTCAAACAACATCTAGATATATATTAGAGTTATTAGCCTAATTATTAGGCTAAATATTGTTGCAGTCATTATTAGCTTTTATTTGCTTCCGTTATTTTCCATTTCCATATTTATGTATTTTCAAGTTGGCTTATTTCTGAATTAATGTCTTTCCTTTTATTTGGGTCTCATAATATATATTTATACCTCTTTTCCTATCAATGAAAGCATGTAGCTCTATTCTGAAAAGTTAACATGGTATTAGATCCATGGTTCAAAACCCTAGAACCTCTACCTAGGCGCCGATCACCTGCAATCGTTCCTGCAGGATTTCTGTCCTAACCATCAGTTTTCCTGTGCTCTTTCCTGCCGCAAGATTTAGCGCCCTCAAACAAGCCACTTGGCAGGCCTTTAGCTGCCATATCCCAAGTGCTGCCCCTGCAAATTGCATCTTGACTTGCTGGTGGTTGTTTCCAGTCACCGGAGATCCCAGTCGTCGACCTGATTTTTCTCCAATCGGCTCCTTTTTTCCCAGCAGCTATTTTTAGAGCTGTTTCCAGCTGCCAAGCCTGCCACTGTCCAGCATTCAAGATCTCCCAATGTCTCGGCAGCCCAACATCACATTTGGTTCAGTTGGAATCATGATGGACTTTTCCACCATCGAGCCTTCTCCCGATTGTGTACTCGAGTCCGCTGGAGGGTTGATAACGATCTCAATTCCTCCATAGACAAAGGACCGAAAAACTACAAGAACTTCCTAATCATTACCCATAAACTGAACACATCTAATCTTCTTCAATGGTCCCAAGCTGCATCTTTGTTCGTCAAGAGACAGAAAATTCAGCTATCTCACGGGAATGATTCATGAACCTCCTAAAACTGAACGCATGAAGCGAGGGAAGCGGAGAATTCCATGGTCATGTCATGGTTGATTAAATCCATGGAGACTGCAATTGGCAGTTCGTATATGTTTCTTCCTTTTGTCAGTGCTCTATGGACTGTAGTTCAAGATATCTAATCAGATGTAGGGAACTCCAACCAACTTTATGAGATTTCCAAAAATATTCGTGAGGCAAAACAGGGATTGAGGACTATGACTCAGTACTATAATGATTTTGTGGCCTTATGGATGGAATGTAATCCTTGCTATGACTACACGTGAAAATTTCCGACAGATTATTCCCTCTTTCAAAAAATTATAGAAAAAGATCACATGTTCCAACTTTTGGCATGCCTTAACAAAGATCTTGATGAAGTTTGGGGCTGTATCCTTGTGATCCCCTTCCTTCCGCTAGTGCTGCATTCACAGAGATTCGACACGAAAAGAGCCAGAGACTTGTTATGCTTGGTAAGTCCACTTCAGCTGAAGCATCTACCTTGGTCATTAAGAGTACTCAACACTCGTCCATGCCATTTCGAGCCACTGGCTCCACTTGTGACTACTGTCACAAACCCAATCATACTTGTAACAAGTATTAGAAACTCCACGATAAACCAACAAACAAATTTTCAGCCAATTCCTCCTCTGCTATGACATCTGAATCTATAATGCCACAACCAACTCTTAGAATCACCCGAGTCGGATGGAGCAATTAATTAAGCTACTTAGATCCAGTCAACTATTCCGACCCACCTCCCATGTCTGTCAAGGTAATATTCTTATGGACGCTCACCTCTTTTGTCTCTTTTGGTCCATGGATTATTGATTCAAATGCCACAGACCACATGACTGTGTTCACAAGCTTTCTCGACATATTATATATGCTCCGGAAAAGATACAGTTAAAAAAAAATTGATGACTCTTGTAATTTCATTACTGGTAAATGGTCGGTTATATTAATAGTCGGTCTCACCCTAAAACTGTTACATGAACCTCTGTTGAAGTGTAACATTTTATCTGTTTGTAAGTTGACACATGACATTGATTGCGTTGCTCATTTTTCCCCTGATGTTTGTGTCTTTCAAGATAGTCGTTAAGGGAGGATGTTAGAACCGCTAAGAGGATAACCGGGCTCTACTCCTTCCAAGAGAAAGACACGAAGAATGACGATATGACATCTAGAAGTTGAAGTTTTTCTAGATCCACTGAATGTCCCATTATGTTGTTACATTGTTGTTTGGATCATCCTAGTTTTCAATATTTAAAATAAATGTATTTGTCTATGTTTACTAATAAAAATCTTGCTAGCTTCAAATGTGAGATTATTCAATTAATTAAACATTGTGTTACATATACATCCCACTCTCACACGCCTTTCGCTCCTTTTTCACTTATTCAGAGTGATTTAAGGGGACCCACTTACACTCCCAGCTACACTAATAAACAGTGGTTCCTTATCTTGATTGATGACCACACTAAAATGACGTGAGTTTATATCTGAAAAGATAAATCCGAAGCTACTGTAACATTCAAAAATTTTTACTCCATCTTGACAAAATTCAAAATATCAATTCAAGTCTTTCGAACTGACAATGCTTGTAAATTTTTTAACTCTATTTAGGTGAAGTCTTGAAAAGGGCATCTTCCACACATAGCTCATGTACAAACACTCAACGAAATGGGATAGCTGAGAGAAAAAAACCGACACCTTCTCGAAGTGGCTCGTTCCATTATATTTTAATCTAATGTCTCGAAAGGATTTTGGAATGATGTTGTGTTTACTGCTACTTATCTCATCAATAGTCCCTAAAAAAATTTACAACTTTAAAACTTTAGCCATTTTGATGTCATATTTCCCTACCAATCGGTTCTTCACCACTCTTAATCTCAAAATTTTCGGGTGCACAACTTTCGTTCGAAACACTGCTCTTAGTCGTAGTAAACTTGATCCAAGGTCAAAAAAATTTGTATTCCTCAGATATTTTGCCACTCAAAAAGACTATAGGTGTCTTAATCCTATCACAAATAAACTCTGTGTGAGTGTTGATGTTTCCTTCTTTGAAAGTGTCCCTTACTTTCCTATCATTACTTCACATGAGGGGGGGTTAGATTTTTTTGTACACTGTTCCTTATCTGACTTCTATGGATATTTCTCTAACCACTATTATATCCAAGGAGAGCTCCGTCCCTCTGGATCCATCACCTATCAACCAGAACCTCCTCCCACCCTCCATGCCTATACTAGGCGCACTCGTCCTAATATTCCTACTCTAGAGCCCACTACCTCTTTACAGGACCTGTAATCCATTTCGGTCGAAATCCCCTGCACTAACCATAATCCAAATGAGGAGGTGAGTTCTCATAGTGAGATATGTGATCAGCCAAACTCTCTTTATTCCACTGCAAAATATATCTCTTTCCACAGTATATCGCCAGCCTACAAGGCATTTGCTATTGCACTAACGGATCGTCATCTCCTATCGATTTTGAGGCAACATTAGCAAACCCCTCCCAAAAAGTTGAAGTTATGGATGATATGAATGTCCTTCAGCGGAATCATACGTGGGATGTTGTAAATCTTCCTCATAGTAAGGAAGTAGTGGGGTGCTGCAGGATTTTTAGCGCCACATTAATTTTGATGGATCATTTAAATGCAACAAGGCACGATTGGTCTCTAAGGCAACTCACAAACATCCAAAGTTGATTATGAGGAGACATTTGCTCCGGTTACTAAATTAAACACCATTTGAGTCATGTTATCCCTTGTTGTGAATTTGGATTGGCTCTTGCTCAAACTTAATGTCAAAAATGCTATCCTAAACGAGGATCTTACAGGGGAGGCGTACACGTGCCTCTCTCAAGGCTTTGAATCCACTTCTTCCCGGGAGCAAGTGTGTCAAATGTGGAAGTCACTCTACGAACTAAAGCAATCCCCAAGGGTCTGGTTCGGCAAATTCACAAAGGTGGTAGTGGGCCATAGCTTTTCTCAGGCCCAATCAGATCATACTCGCTTCTTTTGATATTCCTCGTGTGGCCAAATTGCTATCCTTATTGTCTATGTCGACGATATTGGACTCACAGGTGATGATATACAACATTGGAGTCTTTGACATGTATTCTTGCTACTTAATTTGAAGAAAAGACTTGAGATCACTCTGATAATATGGAAGTTGCTAGGTCATCTCGAGGCATTTGTCTGCCTCAACGCAAATATGAGCTTGATCTATTGAGAGAGAATAACATTCTCCTTTGCAAACTAGTGGCGGTCCCAATGGATCCCAATGAGAAGTTAGGATGTTCTCAATGTGGCTCCGGAGACTCACGATCAACACCATGTGGGGACACATTTACCTTGCTCATACTAGCTCCGACATTTGCCACGCAGTAGGTATTGTGAGTCATGCATGATCCATATGAGCGTCATCTTTGAGTTGTCCACAAGATTCTTCACCACTTAAAAGGGAAATCGGGCTCAGATTTGTGTTTCTTACGACACACCTCTCATTCTATTGTTATTTATACGGACGATGATTGGGTCGAGTCCGTCCATGATCGGCGATCTATCTTAGAATATTCCTCATTTGTGTGGGGAAATCTTATCATGTAAAAAAATAAAATACAGTCGGTTGTGACTCGAAGCAGTACTGAAGCCGAGTTTTGCTCAATGTCCTTGGGAATCTGTGAAGCTCTCTGGTTACACATAATACTCTGTGAATTATGTATGTCATCTCTGCTTCTCTCCAGTTGTTCTATGATAATAAAGCCACCATTAACATTCCCATAATTTGGTCCAGCGTGATCACACAAAGTATGTAGAGATTGTCAGACACTTCATTTAGGAGAAGCTTGATTTAGAAGATATTTGTATAATGTCTCATCCAATGGTCATTTAGCAGATATCCTTACCAAGAATTTTCCTCGACTATTTTTTTATGACTTAAAATTCAAGTTGAACATGTGGCTATCTATGATTTAACTTGAGGGGAAAATATAGTGTTATTAGTCTAATTATTAGGCTAATTACTGTTGCTGTCATTTTTAGTTTTTATTTGCTTCATTTATTTTTCGTTTCCATATTTACGTATTTCTTAGTTGCTCTACTTCTAAATTTATGTCATTCCTTTTATTTGAGTCTTTTAATAACTATTTATACCCCTTTTTTTATCAATGAAAACATGCAACTCTATTCTCAAAAGTTAACAATAGTTACAAAAAAAATTAAAATTTCTGATTGTTTTGATAATCCTCAATCAGAACAAAGCAAGCACGTCATATCACAAAATTAAAATTTCTGGGTGTGTCGTGCACAAAGAAATCAAAACAAGCATGCACAAAAAGAGTGCAAGGACGTCATATCACACCATGCAAGAACCATCGAGCAAAGCAAGCACACTAACAAGAGGCAACAACTCCTAGGGCATATCAATCGGTTTGGTAAAGCCATACAAAAATAATCCTAGGACATATTAAATATAATTTCAATAAGAGTATCACTCCTTTGATTTCCTACACATCCATGAACAAATCTATTAAATTAGTCCTTGCACTGCTTACCTTGCAACATTGATATAAACTTATATTTTGCAGTGATTGATTCTAGTTCTTCCGGTAAAACAGCATTGCAATCCACACGCATCACCTGTTTGGCAAAGATAGAAATATTTTTACAAAGGTCGCATACAATTATGAACAACAAAGAGTGAGTAGCAATTTCAAAAGAATGCAGAATCATGCTTCAATTCTACATCAACGTAAATTTCATTTTAACAACAAATCAAAACTTTTTGAGAAGGTTAGAGTAAATAACGGTCAATTTCATGAAGAAATATTACGTCTGATATCCGGAAGCTGAATTAAGCCCAGATGCCAATTACATTCCGACACATGGCTTGACCAAGTGGACCCTACAAATAAAGTAAATTTTGAGCCCGAAACGTAAGATTCATACCGACATGATTATTACAGCTAGGGTTTGTCATTTACCGCCCCATATGCAAAAAATGGAGGGTTGCGTTAGGTAGTCGAGAACCAGCGTAATATTTTTATCAAAAATATCATGCATGAATCCTATAAATCATAGTGTGAATGTAAGGGCATCCCTAAGAAGTGAAGTGATGTATGACCTGAATATAGTGAAAAGTAAGCAAATACCGCTACAACGATTTCTGGGTGTAGTAGTAAATAAAGTTTCTCACATTATTTACAGATGCGGGCAAAGATGTTAGTCCATTAAACTAAGATTATTATAGAATCTTGAAAAATAAGTACTTTCATAGGTAATTTAATGAAATTAGTAGATATTATTGCACATCGAATGATAAATATCTTATGCATTTTAGGAATTGTTGGAGAAAATGTTAAGGAAATTTATCGCTTAGGAGTTGTCTGGCAATGGATTTAAAGTGAGATTTAAGCTAAATTTTGTTGGACGGTCACTTTGGACAGAATGAAAGTGCGGTCGACAGTAAATTCTAAATCCAGTGAATCAGAGGATTTACAGGATTTATAGAGAGTATGCAGGGGATCAGGGTGGATTTACGCTGAAGTTTCCAAATAGTTTAATGGATTAGCGAAATTTAGGAAATTTTGTTGTCATGCAAATCAGAGGATTTACAGGATTTATAGGGAGTATGCAGGGGATCAGGGTGGATTTACGCTGAAGTTTTCAAATAATTTAATGGATTAGCGAAATTTAGGAAATTTTGTTGTCATACGGTTTTCCATCCAGCATTTAGTAAATCTGGATTTACTACATCCTAATAACTTAAATCACATCTGTTGCCAGACATCGCCTTAGGTTTTAAATTTTGGTATGCTAGCAGGAGTCATACAAGAAATGGTGTAAGTAATAATTATATATAAGAATTTGAAAAATAATGTCATAAAAAAGTAAAAGAATTTAAGATAGAATTATAACCCTAAAAATTGTTATTGATACTAAGATTCTTAATGTTAAAAGTGATTATGCTTCTCAATTAGTTTTAGATATATGTTTAAAAGAAAAAATTTGGAATAACTTAGAAGAATTAATACAAAAGATTCCTTTTTAAAAAAAAATATTGGTGGAGATCTAAATGAGAATGTTGGTAGAATGGTAGAAGATTTTAGAAATATTCATTGTCGCTACGGTTTTGGATGATTAATGAAGAATGTAGAATCATGTTAGATTTTTTTAACTAATTGTTATTGCTAATACTTTATTTAAGAAAAAAATTAACAAATTATTAGTTATAAGAATGAATCTAATAAAACACTAATTGATTAATTTCTTATGAGAAAAAGAGATCGTCGATAATATAAATATTGTAAAGTTATTCCAAACAAAAATTTAAGTACTCAACAGCGATTATTAATTTTGATTTTAAGATGAAGAATTGAAAGATAAAAAATACAATGAAACATTAGAATTAGATGAGGGCCTTTAAAAGACATAAATAAAAGTATTTTTTATGAGCAAACTTCAAGATTTTAAAATTTGGATCGAGAAGTACAGGGAGAGTAAGGAGGATCTACATATGTTTTTTATTGATTTAGAAAAAGCTCACAATAAGAGTCCAAGAGAAGTTCTTTGAAGAGTTCTAGAAAGGAAAGGTCCAGATATGACTTATATTAAGTCGTTAAAGATATGTATACTAGAGTTATTACTTGTGTTCGTACAAAAGAAGTTTTGATCAAGCAGTTTCCTATTTTAGTTGGATTACATCAAGGATCAACTTTAAGCCCAAATCCTTGTGCTTTAATTATGTATGCTCTTATTGGACCTTTACAAAAGGTTGTACCTTGGTGTATGCTTTTTTGCGACAATATCCTTTTTGTGGATAAGGCTAGCGAAAGAGTTCATTAAAAACTTCAATTATGGAGATCCACTTTAGAATCTAAAGGCCTTCGTTTGAGTAGATCTAAAAATGAATGCATAGAATGTAATTTCAGTAGTGATAAATTTGTAACAATGAGTGATAAAAATATTTTTTATGAGCAAACCTTGGTGTATGCTTTTTGGCGAAAAGTTGATTGAAGTCAGGTAGTGCTAGCACAATTACTTAAGTCACCTTTTCTTTTAGTGTTTTAAAGCTATCTTAGGCTGCTGTTGTTAGAATAAATTCTTTCTCATTCAGAAGTTGAGTCTGAAGGTAGGTGATAGTGCTGAAATTTTTTATAAATCTTTGATAAAAGAAATGTCAACCCCAAAAATTATCTCAGCTCGGTGAATGATTGTGGTACGAACTAGCTGACAATGACCTCTATCTTTACGAAATTTATCTGAATGCCTGCACTATGCACAATGTAACCTAGAAAACATATCTTTCTTGTCATGAAGTGACATTTTTTCAGATGGGCATATAGTTGCTCAACTAGCAATACCACAAATACTGCCTTTAGGTGTGCTAGTGGTCTTCCTCCAACCGACTGTATGCTAGAATGTCGTCGAAATGGTCAATGACAAACTTTCCAATGTGATGTCAGAATACCTGGTTCATTGATCTCATAAAAGTGCCACGTGCGTTCGACAGACCAAAAGACATAACATTCCACTCATAAAGTCTGTCCCGTGTCTTCAAGGCGGTCTTCCACTCGTCCCCTGGCCTCATCTGTATCTGATATCCCCTGCCCAAGTCTATCTTGGAGAAGATAATGGCTCCATGTAGCTGGTCTAAGAGATCCTCCAAGCGGGGTATAGGAAATCGATACTTAATGGTAATCTTGCCACGATCTATCCTTTTTGGGCACCATTAGGGTCGTGGCTGCACAAGGGCTGGCGCTTTCTCTGACTGGCCCCCTTGCAATGAGGTCCTGCACTTGTCATTGTAGTTCTTCATACTCTGCAGGTCTTAATCTATAGGTTGGTCGGTTGGGCAATACGAATCCTGATATAAGGTCGATGGCGTGTTGAATGTCCCTTAGCAATGGTAATCCCTTTGGTAAGTTATCAGTCATAACATCCTGAAAGTCTTGTATAAATGGTTGTAATATTGTTGGTATCTCTCTTTCTTCTCGTTTCCTTCCAGGAGCACTAATGCTAGTGTTATAGGGGAATCTCTGACCGACTACAAAGTGGTACGAGTAACTAATGCTACCTCTTTATCGCTCCCGCCTTTGATATCCATAACAAGTAGTAGAACTATATGTTTCCCATTATTCTTGAAAGAATAAGTATTTTTGAACTCGTCATGTTGAGTTTTGGGATCCACGTTGCACCATATATGTTCGTGTAGCTGATCTTCTATGAAGAAATCAACTAAACATTGTTGATCTACACGTATCTCGTTTCCCTTCTTCAGCCAAGTAAATGAATATGATTGGGGAAGCTTCTGTGTGTCCAATTCTAACTTTTTTACCATGACTGTGGATACCACGTTCTCACAATTGCCACTGTCGATGATTGTTGCAGATCTTCCCCTTGACAGTGCCCTTAGTGCGAAAATTGTTATGCCTTAGCCAGGATTGGTATCGCACAAGCTTGGATTGTAGTCTTTGTCAAACGACTAGTGCTTCTATTTCGTCTTCGTGGAGCTGAAGCTCTTCTTCTGGGCTCTCTGATTTTTCATCAACTTCCTCGACGGCGCCTTGATTTGTGAGGGTGACGACGCGGCTTGTTGGGCAGCTAGAGACAATGTGACTGTAATCGTGACACCGAAAACACTTACTGGCTGGCACTGTATTGGAGGGACTACCTTTTTCTGGCTTTTTCCTGCTCTAATCTGCCTTGCAGTCCCTTGTCCAATTCTATTATTTCCCTCTCGATGTACCCTTGTTAGTTATAGCAATTGCAGGTGACCGCTTAGTTGAATGTGGGGTTCTGAACTATGATTGTTGTCTGCTTTGCTTCCACTGTCTCTCTACCTTCAGGGCCAATGTCTGGACATCCCCCAACGTCCAGTATGGTTGTAGCTGTACCACATTGCTAAAGGCGGGTTTTAGAGAGCCGTCAAGATATTTGGCGAACGTGTGCTTCTCTGGCTTTGTCAGCTCGCACTTTAGTTGCCGGTGGTCGAACTGGGTCGTAAACTCCTCAATTGATAGATCTTGTTGATGCAAGTTGTGGAGTTTTAGAAACATGTCCTGGGAGGTATTTCTTTTGCATAGCCCTTTTCATCTTCTCCCACTTAACTATCTTCTCGCTTCCTTCTCTCTTCCACTGCCTTTGTAGATTTTCCCACCATAAGGAGATTAATCTTAAGTTTAATTGTAGCTAGTTTTACTTGTTTGTCCTCTGGTACATCTTCATACTAGAAGAATCGTTCAACTAATTGCAGCCAACTGATAAACTCATCAGGGTCGCTTCCCTCAAACTTTTGAATGTCCATCTTGATGCCAAAGTCCCTCCGACTTTCATAAAGTGTCACTTTTCTCGATCTCCTTTGATATTGAATACCAAAACAGTGCGGCTGACATTCTTTGTCGCTGCGATCTTCCCTGTGAAATGGATTAAGATCCTCGTCTCTGTCTTCCCCGCGACTCTCTCGAACACGGTCGACAGTAATCTCTTCTTGGTTCCCGTCATCTAGCTCGGCTAGTCTCCATTGTAGACGACGAATTTCATGTTGGATCTCTTCCCAAATAGAGCATGATGTATCTATATGCGGTAACATGACTAGAGTTGAGAATTGGAATAAAAAAATTTTGATGGAGGTGGCCAAGGGCGGATGCTGGGGAACCATAAGATAGGACTAGGATTGAGCTGACTCTGATACCAAATAATACCGAAATTAGTAAGAAGAATAGAGGAACACAGAAATAAACTTTTATTATTGTAGAAATAGGATAACAATACAACTAAATAGAAAGGAAACACAATAATAGACAAATCTTATACGGTCAGTGATGTAGGGAGATGTCCGAAGGTGAGGTGGCATCGGCGCTGGTAGCGTCGACGGGGTGATAAGGTAAGATGGGAGATGTCGAGAGGTGTTTGGGTAGTGGTGATAGTGTTTGGTTGGTTGTGGGTAGGTAGGACAGCGGGGTTGTAGTAGTATGAGTGGCGGTAGAGTGTTGGAGGTGTAAGGGGGTGGTAGGCAGTTATGGGAGAGGTAGGAAGAGGGATTAGTGAGAAAAGCAAGGGAGGTTGGAAGAGAAACACCACCTCGAAACAAGATACAACTGAAGCACAACCTGTCGTCGGATACAACCCTACCAAGAGGGAAAAAACTCCACAAAGAAGATTAGAAGACACTCTACTAGAACTGCCTCCCCCACACGTCGGGGACACCTATTTATAGCCTCCTACTTCTACATAAAAGGAAAGGTTGGAAATAACAAAAATAATCCAAAAACTCCTAGAAGAAGACAATGCGAAATATTCTCGAGATAGCCCAAGTATCGACTAATGAAGGCTCGTAGTCACCTCCTCTTAGCATGCGATTGCAGCATCTCGCGAAGTACCACGGTTCGAGACCGCGGAATCGCAGTTTGCGATCCTTATAGAGTGGTCGCGGACTCTCCCGACTGCCACGGTGCCCTCCACTTCAAGTGATATTGCGGGGCTTCGACCCCACTGTTTCGAAGCGCCCCGCTCTGGGCGATGTTCCTAAGCGCCCGCGTCACTCCCCTTCCCCTCTTTCCTTCTTAGCACTTTCCTATTATAAATCTTTCTAAATTAGAATTTATGAATATTTTTAATCATCTTTCATAAAACAAAATTTTCATTATAATCCCTTTCCTAAACTGAATTTTCAAATTAGAATTTCTGAATATTTTATTCCTTTTTTCTAAATCTAAATCCTGACTTTATTCTTCTTTCTCATGTTAAGTATTGCGTAAAATAAAGTCTGAGCCTCATTATAAATAAATGATGTGCTTAGAGTTAGGGGTCTTGTTTTGATATCTGAATTCAGGTTTTAGCTTTGGTATTTTTCCTTCGAGGGTTGTATCTGACATCAAGGTGGTGCTTCGGTTGTCTCTAGTCCAAGGTGGTAATTGTCTCAAAGGACCGTGTGGTGCCCCGGCTGTAGCTCGACCCTGTCGAGATATTTATTTATCATTCCACCCTACTCGTTGTTGTCCACCCACTCTGCAGACCTACAGCAGGTTGTCATTGCCCTAATCTTCCTTCAGGACAACCTTTCAGCCACCAACAAGCCACCACCCAACCTTTTCCAGCCGGCTGTCGTAGCCCTTCGACCACCTACAGTATCCTTTCTTGCAGCTCCCCTGGAGGCCAAACCTCCAACTACTCCTTCCAGCTCTTGCAGCTCACCTGCAAGTCGCAGCCATCACATCACCTTCCTGTAGCTTCCCCTCCCTACGTAGCCCTAACTGCTTCATCCCACTGCGGTTCGGTGCCTTTGTGATAGTTGGCTTGCTATCCAACTTCTTCCACAGTCATCTGACATCTCTCTGGTTTTCACTGCAACCGCCAATCTAGCCCCACCTCTCCGGACTTCCTCCTCGTCAGTTTGTTGTGTCTCCTTTTGTCGAGTTCTTATTTGTAATCCTTTATTTTACACATTTGCTTTGTGTGTTTTCTTTCCTTCTTTTAGATCTTCATTGTAACCATGTTCAAGTCATTAATAAAATCATGTCTTGCGTCGTGATTTTGGTTAAACTCCGGTATTAGGTACCCCTCCTAGTTATTCGTTATTATAAATATGTTATTTTCTTTGTTAGGGTTTACTTTTTTCTGATTTCAGATTTTCTGTTGTCAGCATTTTTCCCTTATTATGACTGTATCCGAGGACAGGTGGTGCTCGGACTATATCCTGTTCCAAAGCGGCGATTATCTCTGCAAAATCCCTCCGATTCCCCTCCTGCTCGCTCACCTGCTGTTGCTACTGCTGAGAGTCCTTACCGCAGCCCCACCTACTATACTGCAACCATTCCATGCTTCCCTATTGTGTTGCAACCCACCTCTTGGTTTCCCTAGTAGGCCGCAAATCCTCCTACATGCTTCCATTTGTAGCCACAACTCTCTTCCCCTCCTTGCCCACATTGAAAACCATCCTACACACCTCCAACTGACCGCCCCCTACCCCAATCCCTCATCACCATTGTCCACGGGTTCCTATCCGGATGTGTTGTATTTTCTTTTCCTGTATTGAGTATTGATTGTAACCCCATTATTTTTTAATAATAAAATCTGTTTTCCAACCAGATTTCGGGTTATCCCCGATATCATCCACCTTCTCCCAGCTTTCTCTTCTCCCAGCTTTCTGCCTTGCTGCCACAGGCCCGTAAGCCCCTCGCCTTGCTGTCCACCACTGTTCCAGCCACCTGAGCAGCATCCCTACTGCCTGGCTGCTGTTCCAGCACTTCCCCACCACTGTCATTGTTGTTTAAGCCACCCAAAAACAATCCCCGTCTGCCTCGTTGTTGTCTCAGCCACCAAAACCACCTCCCTGCAGCCTAGCTGTTGTTCCCGCAGCCCAAAACTGCCCCTAGCCACCGTTCCTAGGTTCTCCAGTCCACCTACACCGCCCAAGGTCTACCCTAGCCGTGTGTCGTGAGTCATCCGGTTATTTCCTATTTCAGTATTCCGTGTGTCGATTTCCCGATTCTATGTTGCAACCATCTATTGGCTTTGTGGGTAATAATATTTGCTTACTATTGTTGTTTGGGTCAACTCCAATATCAAGTATAATGCTCCATTATCTGAGTGACATGATAGTGTTTCAGGGTATAAGTGGATAACTTCATTTAAAATCATTACCTATAGTATTATTAGCATTACAGTTAGGTCGAAAATTACTGTGACACTAATATGATTAATTGAATGATTGAAATGAATATATTAATCAATTTTATATAATTTACATCATTATAACAAGAAAATTAGTCTTACTTAATCTAAAATTAGTTAAAACAATAAATATATTTATTAATTTAATAAAACAACTAAAACTCACAGAATTACCTTTGTTAAAAATCATCTAAGCCACAGTTCTAAGAAAATTGCTTTTCAACTTTTAACGGTTGAAACTACTTCTAATGTTCAAGATAACCGAAATAAGCAGCAGAAGCTTTGCCAATCTAACACTCAATAACAATCATATAACTGATACTTAACAAATCTGTTACGAATGAGAGATTACCGCAGATGGCCAAGTCATAACATTTTCGCCTGAAATTGTCTCCACACATGGCTCTTCAAAAGCATACTGTTTCGCAAGGGATAACATGGCAGTCACTGCAATCAAAAGATAGTCCTTTACCCAAATCCCAAACGCAGAGAATGAAACAAAGCATCTCAAATTAGAAAAAAAAAAACAACATATTTATTTTTCATTACTTCATAACCACGCGCCCACATTTCTATTTTAGCTTTTCTTCTAACATTGCTTAAAGTTTGAATAAAAAAAAGAGCATTTACATTCATACCACAAAATTCTTATGTATATACATATCTAAAAACTAAAGTCTTTAACATCATATCCAAAATACCACCATTACTATAGTTTTAAGAGTGAAATTGATCTTTTCATGCATGGGTTTATGACACCAAGGTGTTATAAGTATGTATATCAAACTTTGGGTTTTAGATATGTAAATATATATAAGAATTGTGTGGTATGTAGGCTAATTTCCCAAAACAAAAGCGCACTTCTTGACCAGCAAAAAACTTTACATTGAGTGAGAAAAAGATCTTCTAATGCAGTCATAATGGCTGAAACATAAGATTATATAAATAAATTTGGTTAACTTACTATCAATCCCATAAACATTACGCCAAAAATCAATGCTTTCCCGATATCTAGCAACATGTGTAATTGGTGCCATATAGAGCTGAAAAGGAGATGACAAAAAAGATGAAACTCGCTAAAACTTGTCTTCATTTCATATAAAAAAAAATAGCATTTATCCATGAGTTATTAAGATGCTATAAAAGATCGCTTTTATAATTACAGAATAAATCGTTTCAAGCATACATTTATCTCATTCTTCTAGATGCGGCCAAACCATAAAATTACATCACTTTGATTCAAGAGATACACAAAAAGAAGGTGATAATATTTTAAATTTGGTTTCAGCTACAGTCGTATAATGGAATTCAATTTCATTAGTTCCGATGTTTTCAGTCAAACATTCAACTTATCAATTTTCTTTGTTTTTAAATGCTATAATCTAGTAACATTTTCATGAATTCTAGTATTTAAAACATGCACCTACTTTGACAGCCTATACAATGTTTTTCACAATTCCAGTATTATTAAAAAAAAATGTCTAAACCACTCAAGTTGACTTCATATAGTAATCAGTATGCCTTTCTAGTCCATGTCTCAAGTAACGTACTTCGCATCCTACAGATTACATAAACCTCAAATAATAGGTTATAATTAATAAAATGATTGATGCTCTATTGATGCAGTACAAACCATCAAACTGCCTAAACAACACACAAAAATCCTAGTGGCCATAGGCCAATTATCAAAACTCAAACAAAGCTAAAACAAAGTTGAGCCAGACAAGTTTTCAAAATTTTTAGACCCATTTAAGTTTTATGGACTAGTATTTTTTTTTAATTTGATTTATTTTATTAGGAATTATTCTCTCTTGGATTAGAATAGATTCAAACTTAAATTTTATTACTGATTTTAATGGGGTAAGATTGTGTATTTAAAGTTTAGTGAATATTTGTAGCCCTACCTCCTATAAATAGAAATCCAAGCTATATAATGGATTTATTGAATTATTCATCACCAATTTAGTACTTTTAAGACCCAAGTTGGTGTTGACCTCACTTTTGGTTGAGGTCTAGAAAACTTCTTTAGTAGCCTAGGTCTAGCCATAGGACTTTCCTATTGACTAGTCTTAGAAAATTAGAAGAGGTACCCCACCATTAAAAATTCAAAACTATTCTTTTTACTCAACTTGAAATTCCACATATTGATCTTAACCTCTAGCATTTAGTAGGTAAGATCATTATAAGAGAATTCAAGAAGAGTCCCTATAGGATTACTTGGCTTTAGGATTGACCCTGGGTGTTGACTTGGAACTAGGGTACACCATATCTTCACAATA